CTGGTAGGTGGTAACATCATGTTTTGTTCACAAGAAGATATGAACTCAATAGTTTTTTGAAAAACAAAAAAATGCTCTTCGATTTAGCCGTTTTCGGAAATCGTTTTAGATTTAGGGGGTTTTGCTTCACAATTTAAATCCGCTCCTAGCTATACCAAAAATATTTGTTTCAGTGATAAATGTACATTTTTTCTCAACGGTAATGTACATAGACAAAATTGTTGTACTTTGAGTGACACCAATCCTCACGTCTTCCGGGAAACTCATACTCAATATCCACAAAAAATTAAAGTTTGGGCTGGGATATTGGGAAGTCATTTTGTGGGGCCTCTATTCATTGAACATACTTAAACCGAGGAACTGTATTTGGATATGCTGGAACATACTATTGACCCTCTAATCACCGAAATGGTCAAGGCGAATCCTAATGAATTCGATACTGATATTGTATTCCACCAAGATGGTGCTCCACCACACTACTCCAGACAAGTTAGGAATTATTTGGATAACAATTTCCTCGGTCGTTGGCTTGGCCGTCGAGGTCCTGTGGAATGGCCAGCTCGCTCGCTAGATTTGACACCTCTAGACTTTTTTTATGGGGCTATTTGAAGCAAAAGGTGTACGAAACTGAACCCGCTCCAATATTGGATATACGGCTGAGAATAACAAATATTTGTAGAAATATCGATGTTACTATGTTTGAAAATGTTCGACGCGAAATTACGGGCCGGATGTTATTGTCTCAAGAAGTTCAAGGCAACAATTTACAGCATCTTCTAAAATGAACTCAACGTATTTATTCGAATTATCAAGTTAAATGTCAATGTATTCAGGTAATTATTAAATGTACCACCATTTTCTAGTAGGTAAAGGTATTGACTTTATATTCTAGGGTTATAAAGTACTGGCCAGGAGCTTCAAAATGATATGCCACAAGACCCTCGTTTCCGCATAATTTTTAGTTCCCAAGATCGCGCCCAGCGGCCATCTTAACATTTTCATCTGTCAATTTTACTTTAAAATAAGGTATCCACGCATCAATTTCATTACCAAAAGTTTTAATTTTTCGATTTGATCCGTTCAAAAGATCAAAGGGGAGGGGGACATTAAAGAAAAACACTGAATACATATATATATTTATATAATAAATATTTTTTATCATAATTTTCAAAAGAAAAATTGGACGATATTAGCTTTCTGAACATCACCTGTCTCTTAGCTCTTCCACTTTATTTTCTCTGCCATCGCTATCATCTTCTATTATTCCGAATTTTGTGGCAACATATTGATGATACATGAGGCTTTCCTTTTCCTGTATTAGTAATTATATAAGCAGATACGATAGGGTACTAAATAATACGTTTTATTGGTTTGGAACTCTATGTATTTCCAGGAATTCACCTTTATCTTCCACTCAAAGGTTTTAGTCAGTGATGTTTCCAGCATCCACTAATTTTTACGCTCCCATACTGATGGAACAGAACTGCTTCTGTTGCACTACCATCGTTTTGGATCATGGCACCATTGTTTTTCGGAGACTCTCGAATAGACAAATAGCCGGTCAAACGGTGCAGGATGAGGATGGATATTTTCGATAAGGATCTAAAACAGCGTGGCAACTTTTCCTCCTCGATATCGACTTGAAGAGTGCTCGAGAAGCATAACGGCAAAGCAACGGAGCTGATCGACTACATAAAAATCGAATCTAACTGGGCCCCTCGTCCCTCAGAGCCCCCTCTAGACTGTTATCAATTATCACACCCTCGGCGCTCACGCTTCCTTGACGGGACGTTCTTGCAACTTGCGACGTTCAGGGTTGTGTGTAATCCTCACCCTTAGAGCACGGATGGAGTTTATATACATCTACAGCAATTTAATAGATTGGAGACAATTTTTCATAGTACCGAGATATGAACGAATTCAGAACTCCATACTCTTCTAGCCAAATGAAGTCACATAGAAATTACACTTTACTGGAGTTTCAGCCATCATGTCAAGATGAAAACATGTTTTATATTCATCTGACAGGTAAATCAGTTGATTTGTGTTAGTTTCCATCGCAAAATGACGGTTTATAATTTCCATAACCCCATATACTATGGGTACAAATGAAAGGGTATGATGAGGGAAACATAGTAAGAAAAGTGTATCATTGTAGGTCCAATGTGGCGGCCGCCGCTGAATGGCGATTTATGATTTCTATGATCACCGCTATGTTATGGGTATAAAATAAAAAGGCTTAATGAAATAAACACGATGAGCAGATAACCTACCATTCTAAATTCCACATGGTGATCGCCGCAAAATGTCGACTTAGCATTACATGATTTATGTTCACCGAAATTTTATAATACATGTATATGGTAGTTATATAGAAATTACCAAAGTAGTTATTTGACATCATAAATATTCAAAGTTTAAAAATAAATATAAAAAGATAAACATATTTTTTTAAACCTTGACTGATCTGTTCCTAAAATGAACTAAAAATTTTGTATATATTTAAACGACAATGAAGTTCCTGTGTATCTAGTCTTCAAATGAAAGCAAGTTACGTTTTGACAGCTGGTTGGAAAAATTGTGTATCACGCCTTCAATTTAAGACTTGAGAAGAAGGAGCTTGATTTTCGCTTAAGTATTTACAATGGGAAGCATTTCATAATATTTAGTTCATTTTATGAACGGCTAAATCAAATCTTGTTCTAAAAAATGTCATTGATTTCATTTACCTGTCATCCTTGAACCATGGTTGTGAAATATTCATTTCGGCTAATGAAACTACAATTTTATCCAGGTATTCAGTGTTTAAGAGACATTTTATATTTCATACGTTGGTCATAAATGCAGTTTAAGATTTTATTACTTTGGCTATCTGCTGATAATATTATAAGCGCGAGAAGCATGAGCTGACAAACGAAAGCAGCAGAAAATTATGCAATGACTGACAATCCAAGAAAACCAAATCGTTTCTCCTGCTTCTACAAAATAACTGCACAGCAAAGTGCACACTCATTTTCGGTGCAAGAAAGCGTGAGACAATTTAAAGCGGTGCCGGTGATTCAATAATAGCAGCTCTGGATGAGGATTTATCGCCGTGTCGTCGCCTTTTCTTTCATGTCAGGATGTGTATAACGACAGGATTAAGGATCAAGCCATTAGAGGTCGGGGGCAGGCGCTTCCATGCGACAATTAGGGCCTCCGCTCTCACCCCAGAGAACTTTCCAACCTCTCTTGTTTCCAGCCCTTGACATGACCCAACTTTAATTGGTGGGAGGAGAGACACGGGATTATACGAGATTGCGGTTTTGGTGTACGTGAAACTACTGTAAGCTACGGGAATGAGTTGCCTGCAATAGACAATGTACATCAGATACCTACGAATATTGCCTCGGAACCTCAAATTGTTTTGTCACAGTGTCCAGCCCATATCAACTAGTAGAAACCTACGTGCGTTTTTAACCCTAATTACTACAAAAAAATAGAATATGTCACTTGAATGCAGGGCATCGTGATTTTGACGTCTGATTGATCAAAGTAGGTCAAAGTATGTTGGTCAGCTTGTAAGTCTGTTGGGCCGGTTGCCCAGAAACCTGACCAACTCAAAGGTAAGGAGAAGTGGGAGAAATATTGAAAAAAGAATGAATAGCAGAGTGAAAAAATGTAACTATTAGGAGAGGAAACGCATAGACTTGACTGAAATAATATTGATGGGAAGGTTTTATTAAAAAGTATTATATAGACCTGGGGAAATAAGATTAATTTTGCTCATAGTACGAGCTGCAGTCTGGGATTTATTCAACTGTGTAGTCCATTGGTTCACGCAACAAGGGGTTGGAATGTAATTACCCTTGTCCGTAGCATTGCCGCGCCTCTCTTGCATTATAAACACCCAAGCAAGGCATGTCAAGACGTATGTATAGTGTCTTGTTAGAAACATATCATATAGCGTCGGTCACTTGCAGCCCCTGCAGAAATAGCATTTGTGCTTTTGTCTCATGTTTCAGGTTTTACATAATAAATTTGTTGAAACCTAGCTTGGAATTTTCTATTCATTGATACTGTGCGCCTCCGGCAAGTTAAACCCTTGTGTAGCATAACCACAAGGCATCTTAGAGATTTTTCTACTGGAAATTGTCGCATATACCGGAATCTCTGACGGTGTGCTGCTACACTTCTTGGTACACGCTACATTTTCAAATGATTGATTTTGATTTGTCTCCGATCCGCCCATTCTAATACTTCGACCATCGCACTTTGCAGCTACTTATGGACCAGATTACCAGAAAGAGACTGGCCTACCAGTGCAGTAACATTGGTAGGGACATAGACTTCACAGTTACCGGGGCTAGGAACGAAATTAATGAATGAGTAGTAAAGGATTGGTTCAAGGACCGGATCTTGGTGGATATCGATCTAACTGGGCAGTGCTATCGATATAATATTGTTAATGGACTTCTAGGCTATAATGGAGTACTTTTCTGTTACACTCAATCTCATCACGCGGAGCTTAGTTTACAATACCATAGTTACACTAGTTATAAGGTTTCTTTCTCTTCACCCTCCACTTGGTCTCCGTCCTTCAGGAGTTGCAGTGCAGAATATTATTTTACTTCATCTGTGACCATTCTTGAATCTTACTGCTACAAAATTGTCAAGGATCATTGACACCACGTTAATCCGGAACAGCTGGATGACCTCAATATTGTTTATACTGGCGCATCTCAAAAGGTGCGGTCAAAAGGTCCAAACTGATTTCAGTAATTGGCTGTAACCCAACAGTTTATACTATGTTAAAAGTAGAGATTTACAGCTGAGCAATGTTCGAATTCCGACACGCTCCTTCTTCAACTATGAACTATTAGGTTGCAGCTGATCCTGTGAATGAAAACAATGTATATTGAATCGCAAAGAGTTTTATCGAAGATGTATCAAAGTATGCAGAAGGTTATATTTGAACGACCCCAAAACCATCCTCATTTATTTACTTTTTTTTGTTATAGGTGGTGGCTGGTTCTGGAGTAAGAGGATGGCTAGACGGATCCCTGGATCATCGAAATTGGCTGAAATTGATCAAATGTGCACCAAACAAGAATGCTGCAAACGTTAGGCATTTTTTGCAAGGTGGACAGGTCAGTAATCTGGATTAATGTTTTTATGGAGTAAGAACCTGCTTCTAAACAAATTCTGTTCGATTGCTTTTAGTTCATCACATGATACCTCTCGCTAAATTGAATTTGTTTGGATTCACTGACAACTCGATACCTCTTATTAAAGTCTTATTTACATAATCGTCAGCTATTCGCAATGACTTCGAGTCTTTTCGCTATACAGCATCTTCACAGGGTTCGAATTAAGGATCATTACTTTTTAGATCTTTGTTAACGGTATAAATAGCAATATTCATTGTGAAACATTAATACTTGCCGATGACTTGTAATTGTTCTTTGTAACCAACATCATCACTGGTCGTATTTACAGTGCCAATTGTTTAAGTGGTTACATTCTGTCGAAAACAACAAATAGTAATTTACCCTTATAACATCGAATGAAATGTAATCATCCGGCATCAAACGGCATGACTTGTAAATAGTGTCAATAGTTTTAGGTTTAATGGTTAGAAGCTGTAAGACTGGTCAAATGTTCAAAAGAGATATCTTAAGAAAACACAACTCCGTCATCCTCTTATGCGTTACATGGTATTGTTGATTCTTCAGACATGTTATCCCAGCTCCGATTTTTAGTTCCAACGACATGCTCTAGAAACAATACCTTATTTTTTTTGCACCCGTGCAAATACCAACTTAGCTCTAAAATTTCCTATAAGAGTCACGTGCATGAAATTGAACAGAATATGCAGTATTTGTAATAAACTCTTTTTCAACTAAAGAGGGTTTTATGGCAGCACCTTTAATAGTGTTTGTTTATTCCCTTAAATTTGAAGTAGTTAGTATTATTCTTTTCTTTGTTATGCCAGATTTCGGTTATTTGTTCCTGTAAATGGATGATATCATAAAAAATATTATCACCATTATTATTGTTACGTTTGTTATTATTGATATGATAATGTGCTGCCGACCCTTGAGCCACTTTTATGGTACGACTAGTTACCGTTTTTGCCTAAAATGATGTTCCCAAGTAGTCCAACCACTTTCAGCTATGGTACGAGGCTGTCAAGGATATCTCAGGTGGTACCGAACTGATCCTGGGTCCAAGAGAGCCGTTAAATCTACAGGATATGTTCGGTGATTCCCCATCAGCTGATGAAACTGCGGACCGAGAAACGGGTAAGTAAAATCTTATTAGAAACATTGTTTCAACTACATAAGCAAGAGGAGGTTAGCCTCAAAAAATCAACAATACAATGAGGTTCGTAAATGGCAGTAGGAGCCAGTGATTGCTGCTTGATGGCTGAAATCGTATTGCTCGCTAGATTTATACCCACCCATATGGGAAGTTTATAGTGTTCAGGTAGCGTTACAAAATACGAAGAAATGCTCAGGTTTAAGAACAGGTGTGATATTATCGCCGATCATCTTGCATGTGGCACGTTTTTACGTTGCTCTTATTAAGCCATCACCACTTTCTGTTACGTAAACATTCCTGCGTCGAGATTTGCATTTGCAGGAATGCTTATCAGTCGCTTGAGCGCCGCTAAACTGCAATTTGCCTGTGATTTTCTCGAGTAATGGTTAACCTACATTGCTACTTGATAGCGCAGAATTATACATAATTATTGTAATTTAAAACAATAAATCAGAAGGACCTTCCTTCCTATTCTTGTAGTGAAATAGCGTAACGATTGCGATTCCAGATTTTTAACCCAGTGCTCTTAGAGTCTCTATTTTTTTTACTGTTACCTAATAAAACGTCTTCATATCTTGGGACGTATGCTCCGGATTACTTGATTGGCCAGAAACGGGTCAAAACGCTGAAATGTAGGCTTCTTGAAAAATATATCTCTTTGAACACTTCACTTTGCTAGAACAGACAGAGGTGATACTAACAAACATTTCAAGTTATGATTTTGTATTACTTACTATACATTTCGACCACAAAATAGGTCAAAAAGTTTTCATGACGAATTTAAAGAAGGTATTATATACTTGCAAGCGTTTGCCTTTTTCCCAAAGTGAGGAATAAAAGTAAAGTTATTTACAATACAATATCAGGTCGACAAGGAATTTAGTACTAGTAGGTTAACATTTACAACAAGAGACTATGACAGCAACGTAATCACAAATTACATGGACGCATTATTCAAGGAGCTAAATTGTTAATTATATCGAAAATCGTATGTCTGGTATATTAAAAAAAAGGTAACAGAATATGTAAAGAATAAAATGACGTTCATACTTTGATGTTAAAAAGAAAACTTATAAATATAACTGTTTTCAGAATTCTGACCTGTAGGGATTCTTTCTTAACAGTTCTAAACAACATCTTTCCTACGATGCAGGTCAAAATATCATGCGACTTAAGGTCCTAGTTTTTATTTCTGGACAAATAATTCAACATTAAATAATTCTTTAGATGTATCTACGTAGTATGCATTAGCTTGAAGTACCTGGTGAGGTGTTGGAAATATACTACAATCGTACTACGTGTACACGATAGGAAGAAATTTCTGGTAGGGATCATTCTCTCTTTCTTTTTAAATTACATTGCACACTGCTATTTTACCTTTCGGTGACAGCTGAAACCCATTTACTGTCTCTGTAATATTGTCTATAAACTTTAGGCCTCCTCCGTTTCAAACTTCCAGATCAGATCTTCTAAACAGTCATCAAAGATCAGTAAGTGGGGAGAGGCAACACAATTGCTATGTAAGGCTTTTTTGAGCAAAACTAGAAAGACAAATTTGTTGTAATTTTTCAGTGAAGACATTTGTATATACAAGTTCCTGAAACTCTGTAAATGTTTTCCTTCAAAATTAGCGTCGATATCTGGACGGAGATTTACTAAAAGAATCCTGCGTCAATGTATTATACTAAGTGACATATAAATCCGAACACCCAGTTTAAATGGTTTTATTTTAATAAAATTTTGTATAAGTACTTAATGAACAATAATAAGTAAATGATAAAAATTTCAAAATGATTGCACTGCTTTAGAGCCCTTTGACCTTTAATAATGTGTGGATGCACCCTGATGTGCTACGCATTCTCCAACGCGCCTAGACATGCTTCTGATCAGGTGGTCAATGTCCTCCTGTGGTATCTCATTCCAGGCAACCACCAACTCCTCTCGAAGTGCTTTTAGAGTCTGAGGAGGACGTTGCAAATTGAGCAATCTCCTACCCATCATATCCCACACGTGCTCAATTGGGGATAAGTCGGGAGATCTTGGTGGCCATGGTAACAATGTGACATCATTATGTTGAAAGAAGTCTATTGTGACTCTTGCAACATGTGGTCGGGCATTATCTTGTTGGAAAGTTGGATCTGCCAGGGTGTCAAGATAGGGTAAAAGATGGGGTTCTAGAACTTCGTGGATATGACGCTGCGCTTTCATGTTACCTCTGATGAAGATTAAAGGTGACCTGGAACCATAAGCTATAGCATCCCAAACCATAACTCCAACAGTGTGATGAACATGTCTTTCAACAAAAAACTGTGGATTCCTCCTTTCACCACGTCGCCTTCTAACCCTGGCACCACCATCGTGCATGCCTAAACAAAATCGAGACTCGTCACTAAAGACGAATACTGTTCCATTCCTGATCCCAGAGTGACCGTTGTCTGCACGACTCAAGGCGATTACGTCGGTGTTCTCGAGTTAAAGGGAGGACCCAGTGTGGCCGGTATGAAAACAAGCCAAAACTTCTCATTCGTCGGTAAACACTTCGCATGCCAATAGGTATTTCGTGTTGTGCAAACCATTCATTTGCAATGGACCTGGTAGTGGAGAAACGGTCCCTTAAGGCCAATAATCTTAGGCGGCGATCTTCACGGTCTGTTGTTCTACGGCGGCGTCCAGTGTCCCTTGCTCTTTGCGTACGGCCTTCTCGAAGCCATGCCTGACAACACCTAACCACAGGTCTACACTTCTTTGCACTCTAACTGCAATTGCCCGAAAAGAAAGTCCAGCTTCCCGAAGTCCCACTATACGGTCCCTATCAAACTCACTAAGTTGACGAAATCGTACAGGTCTCCATACTCTAGGCATCGTAACCGATCGTAAAGGATGTCAAGAACCAAAATCCGCCAACGTTGATTCTTTACTGCGGCTGAAATATTCATTTTTAGAGCGTTAGTGAATTAAAAAAAAGCAGTATAAAAACCGGAATGTCCAACTGATAAGGCTGAAAATTTTTACACTTGTTATTTACAGTAAGATAAATACATTCACCAACTTTTATTAAAATAAAACCATTTAAACTGGGTGTTCACTTGGTATATATAATAGGATTATTTTGTAGACATATTGACTTATTCCTTACCCATATATGTTGCAAGCTCACATGAACCTTTTTACTTATCAATATGCCCAAAAAATAACCTTACACTGAGGATACATTAGGCAAGCTATGACCTCGTGTCTTTTTTTTCTTGTTACTCCAAGGCAAAGCTACGGAACTAAATTTCTCGAAGGCCATTTTTCTCTTTACACGTGCCAGATCTTATTACTTACAGGCGAATACCATTCGGCCTGTTCTATATCCCTCCAGGGCAGGAATGGCGAAATGTCAGTGAGATAAACAAATAATTGAAGCATGTAAAGAGCATTATGAAACTGATAAGTTAATAACTTTTATATAAGTTATAAATGGCAATTCTATAAATTACACCTCTTGATTGATGATTAAGTGTTCGACTATTTGATGTGCTCAAGTGGTTAGTTCCGTTTGCGGTACCATCTGAAGATAGTAGGTCTGTGTACATAAGGATTCACTTACGATATTATTATATAACCCAAATACCGATACGGCAAATATGCACCTCTATGTTGTAAAAATTGCACAAAAGCAGAATCGTTGTTTTTTGGAAACTTTAGCGCAGTAATGGAATCAAGAATCCCTTTGAGCTTTCGGCTTGCAATTAATCAAAAACTTTGATAATTAATTTAATATCACGTCAATATGACTAACCGTAAGTTGAAAAAATTGCTAGTTTTCGCCTTCTACCTAACTGTATCTCATTTGACAGCAATCGTTGAAAAAACCATTCCTCAACCCTCGTTCGAATTACGTAGATCTAAGTATCTCCATTACAACCCTGAACAAATAACTTATCTGTGCTCTTGATAATTAGTATTAGTATCATTATAAGAATTTTATCATATGCCTACTAAAAAAAATTGTGTTATGTAATCTGTAGGTACCATACCACATACCACATTCAACTCTTCACCTGCATGTTTGCATGTAGCTACTTGTAACTGACAATATAACGGGATCAGATGCAGAATTCAGTTCGAATTCTATCAGGCACCGAAATCTACATCTTTCAAGAGAGAAGAGAAAACAGGTAGTAGACGAAAACATCTAGCAAGAACATATATTTATAACGAAAAAACTCGACCAAACCACCGTTACAACAAGTACCCTAACGTCTAAACATCTTTTCCGATATTAATTAAACGGCCCGCAAAGGAAGTGAACGAATCAAAGCAACCGCTGACCATATCTCGATTATCTCCGGTCGCAATCCTTGCATTGACAATATCCAGTCGACTATGGATAAGAGGATTTATTAAACAATATCGCATCGCGCTTCGTCGGTTCACCCTCTTTCACTTGCGGTTTACAGAGTGATCAAACTTAGGATCCCAACATTCTAGGAACGCTTAAAGCTACACGGTAAATGGGCTAACAAGGCTTATTTTTTTTGATGTTATACCATTGATTAACGTATTCAATCTATACTGACGTAGAAAACATGGCGTTCGCAATGCGACGTTAAGGCAGTAGTTATGAATAGTTTTGGATAAGATAACGGTGCATCTTTTTTATAATGATTGATCAAAAATCTTTTAAGCATCATTCTTTGACGTTTCAGAAGCTCCTAAAATTTTTTTGTACCGGCTAAAAGTAGGGAGCTGGAGGTTGTAGCGATTTTAAGCTAATTCTAAGCACCCACTAGACATATTTCGCACATCGTAGATCATGATGATAAAGCAAGAACCGATTGCGCTTCCTGTCCTCTTAACCTCAGATACTATTGGCTACTTGGTTAGTCTCTTACTAAGCCGCCTTTATATACTAAGTGACATATAAATCCGAACACCCAGTTTAAATGGTTTTATTTTAATAAAATTTTGTATAAGTACTTAATGAATCATAATA